TAATTAGCTAAAATTAGGCACTTTGATCCATGAATTTCAATGTAGCTTAAATGTCATTAGTTACATTATTGTTGATTTTTGAAATATATTCATTGATAAGAAAGTATTATATTCTAAAAGTTATGTTAGAAGAAATAAAACCTTACCTGTAATTTTTAAACATTAAATTTGAAACATTTGGTTATTACCTAAGGAAGTGAAATTTTTATGCCAAAGCTTAATTGTGCAACATTAAAACACTTTTTGTTTCCTGAAATCATAGGTTGTAAGAGCAAACTTAATTGTGTTTTCCCTCCCGATTTCTTCTAGATTATCTCTTCCACTACTGCAAATGCTAATGTCATTCTGCAGATTGACAACGCCAGACTGGCTGCTGACGATTTCCGGCTAAAGTAAGACATAAAAAATAATCACGCCTAGAACAGGTTTCCGATCTACTTAATGTGTTGAATAAAATTTCAATTTCACCCCAAGTAGAATAAGCTATAACCTAAAAGATGAAAGAAAATACCGCATTACAATACTACAGCACAATATGACACAAAGCATGTTATAATATTACAGTCAGCTAGACTCACAATTTATACATACTTATTACATTCTTAGGATAAAATATCATTGTATTCTGTGCCTGCATGAACTAGTGCCAAGCACAAATGTTTGTGAAATATTTGTCGATTAGGTAAAAATATTAAGATAAAATTCTAAAACAGTCTATTTCTATCTAGTTGGGATATGCTAGTGGAAGTTGTGTGATTAATCACTGCTGATTACCCTGCATAGAATTGGGTGATAAGATGGAAGAGGGCTTTTTCTGCCTTTTTTTGTTTACAAAATGTAGAGCTCTAATTCAATTTCTAGCTTTCAGTTAAAAGCATTTGAGGCTTTATTTTTCCATTTCTTGAGCCAATCTAATTTGTGCTGAAATTCACTGCATGCCTTCCAAGGTATGAAAATGAGCTCGCCCTCCACCAAAACACAGAGGCCGACATCAATGGGCTACGGCGCGTCCTGGACGAACTGACACTCTGCAGGACTGACCAGGAGCTGCAGTATGAATCCCTGAGTGAAGAGATGACCTATCTCAAGAAGAACCATGAAGAGGTAGGGGAAGCTTTCGCTCTAGTCAAATCACAACTCTGTATATTTTAAATACTTGGAGGGGGCATTAAATTACAATAGCAATTCACGCTCATTATAATTCAAACAATGCCAAAGCATCTAAAGAAAGAATTCCACGTCTCTCACTCTGCCCTTCTAATTGCATCCCGCAAGGTAATAAATGTTCAATTGATCTGCATCTTTCCATTTGAAGGCTGATGTCATAGTCTATCCTTTTGAAAATAATACATTACTTTTGCACATTACTTTCACATTAACACAACCATCTTCCCACTAGATTATTTCTTTCACTCATACAGGCCTGTCTTGAGATCAGTCTTCTCACAGAAGACGTCTCTGACTAGGAAAAGATGTCAGTTGTTTCTCTACTTAATTAGCCTGGGTTTATCTTAATGTTGAACCCTACACAGTAATAAACCGTTATTTGACACGTAATACCAGGCAACTTCAACCCCCTAAAAAAATTATTATCCCAAAAAGAATTGCAAAATTCTGCAAAACCATGGATGTGAAATTGTCAGAAAACAACCCGTGACGGGAAGTGCCCCACCATTGGTTAGAAATGGCCAAAATGCCAAATCTACTTGCCCCAAGTGAGAAAATTATGGAAAGGGGAGGAGAAGAAAAATTAGAAGGGAAAAATTAAAAATAAAAGAGAAACGGGGAGAGGGCAGTCACAGAGCAGAGGGCTGGAATGCACTGCAGAGAGGGTGACGCAGAGAAGAAAACGTCCCGGAAGAGAAGGAATAGTAACCACAGCAGCCCAGCCAGGGCAGGGTCAGGTCCACAGCAGGATTCCTCATCTCCCTTACAGAGACACTAACCAAAAACACTTTGAGATAGAAAGATGCGCCGCCCTTAGGTCACCCTGGCGTTTCCCCGCAGGAGATGAAGGCGCTGCAGTGCGCGGCCGGAGGCAACGTGAACGTGGAGATGAACGCGGCGCCCGGCGTGGACCTCACGCTTCTGCTGAACAACATGAGAGCCGAGTACGAAGGCCTGGCCGAGCAGAACCGCAGGGATGCGGAGGCCTGGTTCAACGAAAAGGTGAGCACCGCCCAGCCAGCCCAGGCCGGTACCGCTAACCCAGGCGGGGGCAGCCCCGTCTAGCCCCTGGGCGCTTGGTCTTGCAGAGCGCCACCCTGCAGCAGCAGATCTCCGACGACGCAGGCGCGGCCACCTCGGCCAAGAGCGAGCTGACCGAAATGAAACGCACTCTGCAGACCCTGGACATCGAGCTGCAGTCCCTCCTGGCAACGGTAAGAGCACAGATCAGCGAGTCCACAAAGTCTAGCTGAAACCCTTCCCTTCCTCCCTGTTACATCTTGACCCACAAACACTTAACAGAGACGGGACAGACAGACCCTGAGATGCTCAGAGACAGGGCATTTCTTCCTCCCTGAGGTCACTGAGGATTTCCCTCCCGCCCGTGCTCAGTGCCCACTTAATGAAATAGTTCCTTCCTTCAAGTGGTCCATCTCTGGACGCAGAGCAAGCAGCAAGGGTATTGATACCTTTGAAAACCAAGTGGCAGGTTTACATCAGGCAGCCAGACAAGACAGAGCTGGTGTCACCAGCATCACCTAATATTGATGAAGTCCTATTAAAGGCAACACTGTGCTATCCATCAGGCAGAGAAAAGGAGGATACACATCTGATTCCATGTGAGGACTATCAGCTTCTTCTGCCCTGCTGTGTCCAGGAGAGAGGTCCCATCCTGACATGCCTCCAAAACCCTGGGCATTTAGTCCATCTCTTGGCACCTCCTTCTGAGGTTTCCATGGAGACAACCCAGGAAAACCAGCTTCCCTTTTGGGGTGTGAGCTGATAGCATCCAAAAGGCTAGATTTGGAGAATTATGGCACCCACATAGCCCAAGGGCTCCCTGTCCTCATCAGAAGCTTCATGCTCCCTGAGGACATCAGGCTGTAACACGAAGAAAAGAGCCACTATTATACAAATGAGTTCAGGGAACAGAGAAGGAGAAGATGACTCAAAACGATAGGGAGACTAATTTGATTTACCCACCCTAAAAAGGCGTGGTGCTTTCTTACCATATGTTATTTTTTTTCTTTGTATATATAAATGTATGTGTATATATATA